GGTTCGGACCCTACATGCGAATCTTTATATTGTCTGCTGATCAGCATCCTGGTAAACAGTACGAATGCGTTTCAGAACTAAAGGCATGAGAAAAATCTAATCTCAGTAGTCGGCAAATAACAGGAAGATGAAAGGTAGTACACTACTCATAAGGCTGAAAAGAACCACTTGACAGACCATGACCACTTTCGCTCCTCTTGAAACTTATCAGGTGGGCACGGTTTCCGAAATTTTGTCAACCTTCTACTCTATTTGAACTCAACTTGCATGAAATTGTGAGCAGCGTCTTGAGTCTGAAAAATGTATTGTGATACCTCGAATATCGTACCAAATGAAACATAAGGTGGCAAGGTGCAGCACATTCAGTTAAAGAACATTCTAAACACAAAATTCGTCCAGGTCCTAGATTATTATCCCGTGAAAATCAAATCGTTTTGCAGATTAGCGTATAAGTCAAATTTCGTGCAAGTTGGGTGGAAAATGACGCAACTATGCTGAAAATGGGGCTGAAACACATGAAAGGGCGACTGCTGCAGAAGAGTGCAACTTAATGAGACAGACTTGTTTCCATTCAGTCAATTATCCCAGATTTCCAAATGGCGATATTTTGTCATGACTGAGGACTGATGTCTAGTTTGACCAAATACTACTTCGACCAAATACGACTTTGTCTTGGAAGATTTCTCGCTACAACTCAAGAGCCCCACACAGTGATTTACCTCAAGTAAGGCCCCTGTGTTTTGACGGCAGTGTAGAGGTTTTGTGCCAGTAGTAACGCATTTCGAGGATTTGATAATTCATGCACTATTTGAATACATGAAGGAAGAGATTTCATCCGGCTGGTATATGATGGGCATACGGGCCGGCATGTTGGTAGTGCTTTACCAGAATGTGCAGCTTTCGTGCTAGCTTTTCATTCAGTATGGTTGTGCTGCAGGAATTCACGGAATAAATTTCACAGAAAACTGTTGCATATGGTTCTCTGTTCAAAAAATGAAATCCTGTAGGTAAACATGTGTCGCGCATGAACCATTTATTTCGCCGGCTTCCCCCTAATTGCATGCCATCAAGATTAATCAGAGCTCAATATGCTTGATACTACAAAGTGCTACTGGATAACTTAACTCATTTCTGCATATTCCTGTTTTTAACAACCATATATTCCATATTATTCACTTATTCAGAGAATCCTCTAGTCCATCCTAATGCTGTTCTTCCTCTCTATTCCGAATACGGAATATACGAATAGCATCAGTCGTACGGGAAAGAGCTATGTGGTGGTGGTGGTAGTGGAAGTAGTCGAATTCGGTTGCGGAGAGCCATTATATTATATCGCGACATTACTTGGAATAGTATATAGTTCCAGTTTAAAACGGAAACATTAGTGAACGTCTTTGTTCCTTAACTCGCGTTTGACCTCTGTATGCGGAAACGAAGGGTCTGTTGGCGGATGGTGCAAGCCAACAACAAAGATCTCTGTACGAACTTGCAACTGATGTGTGAGTGAAGTAAGGCATCTGTCATGATCTGCCCATCACTCCCAAGTTTCGATAATTCTGTTTCCTGTCTAAATCAGTGTTGTTCTAAGTGAGTGTGTTGACTCCGTGGCTCGGACTAACATAGGCTATCTTTGGCCCTTGAACGATTCTTGGTGTACAGTAGGGCTGCATTGAGTCCTAGAGGTTTTGGTGTTCGGAGATCGATACGAAACTAAATACTGCAAGAATCCCATAATCCTATAATAATTACAAGAGTAGTGTTCACACGTTATAATACCGTAACTCATGAGACCATATAGGATTGTGACCTGTCAACTTCTTCAAATACTGACAACAGTGAGAACGACAAACCTCTTAACAGTAAAAAAACTTATGCGTTGGGCTTCACAAAAAAAAGCGCGAAGACACATAACTCTGCATGGAAGGGACTCAAAACTTTTTGTCTATTCTGTCCCACTACATTTGCATGATTCTCTTGGATTCTGACGTGCACTGACTTATCTTGAGTACAGTTCAAGAAATGTCTTAATTTTTACCGTTGTTTCTCTACTGTACACCAGGGGTAACTTGCTCACGCAGCTGTCGCGTAGGTGGTAATCCTAACACAATATTCGACGATATATTACTAGGTGAATCAGACCGACTCACCGGAAAGCAAGCGTACCCACAAGCTGTCGGATAATCAGCCGGGATAACACCACACCCACACATTACTGAACGCCTCATTTTGCTCATTCATGAGTGGAATGAATAAGTACCTTAGCGCACTGAGACTGGACAAAGACTGTAAGCAGAGTCAGAGGATTGCCGTTTACGAGATGGTCCTTCCGGAGTCGACAAATTAATAAAAGATAGATGTGAATGCAGATCATTATTGAGTGTGAATTTTCCTCTCTTGTGCTTTGTACGCATGGTGATTCAACGAGTGGGAAACTAATAATCTTCTGCCCTTTATCTCTCCAAACTAACTACGACGGAGAAGCACACTTTCCAACTTTTGCGACATCTGTGCGACGAAGCCGGAGACGTTTGCCGGTCCATTTCGCTAACCCAATGGGTTTCTGGCAAGACATCAAATTGCTCGCACTTGTAATTGTATGAGGAGATTTGGATTCGGTCAAGGTGCGCGCCATCCCACGTTGAGCCTGCTAGCGGTCACCGTTCCTCAGGAAGAGTCAAGCTACATAAAGGATACATCCCCTCCCCTATAAGTGAATTTGCTGAATGAATTCCTCTGCCTATGTAAATTACTCTCATTTTCTTTTCATTCAAGCAGTAAAGTTAAATCTGTAAATTACGGCATTGAGTGTCTCCAGAGTGACCGTTGATGCTTACGATAAGTAAGTTTAACGGTTTATGTTGGACAATAAAAAGTTGACTAAAATACTGCCATGCAATGTAAGAGTAGTGCATCGGACGTTCGTTTGCCTGAAATCTAACTGACAGCCGGCGTTACGTACATATTTTAACTGATAAAGTACTTCAGAGTGAGTGTTCTTCTCCACTTGGCTATATACTACTTGTGTTAACTTGATGCAAACATGAGAGTGCTAAATTTGAGGACAGATTTTGGGGCTGCAGGAGAATTCCTCTGATAAAGTATGATTATGTGACCAAACAGTAAATTGTAGGAGTGCCGAAATTTTGGTTCACTTCCTATTGGAATTATATACAGCGGAAATTCCCATTATCTCATTGTTTTCAAACACCTTCATCTGATTGTATTGCTATGCTGCCAGCAGCCGAAGTTTGCTGTGAACCCTCTTCGGCTGGTTTAAAACTGATTGTACCACAGATCGTCCATCAACAGCAAAAAATTTTCCGGAGGAAGGTTACCGTTGAAGTCATTCGTCATAACCAGTAAAGCGAAACTAAAGTGACGGCTTTGTCTTTTCGATAAATGGCAAAATGTTGTTTAATGGTGGAAAAAGAACGTCTGCACCAAACGAAACGGGCGATATTGCTGAATATGGGTAGCATCTGGCGCTGCTTCGTTTTTAAACTACCTGCAATGGGATTGCAAGCGTTTCATCACTAATCGAGGATTCAGTATCAGTCCACTGCACTGCTAATGTCGGCGAAAAGACCAACAATCAAGGAGAAAAGCTCCACCCAACCACTAGGAAAATCGCATTACGTGCTAGTTAACTGTACTATTAGTACATTTGCCTCATTTTCATCGATTCACTTGTATTTCTAGCGACACGTAGCTTAACGGAACACAGTTACTCTCCCAAAAATATCTACAAGTCACTTGCTCAGATGACTTTTGTGAGCCAAACAGATGTTGTGACACTTAGTTTGACCGATCGATCACTAAGATCTTCTGTAAGCTATTCACCTTTTACGCTCACTTTTGTCGACTAATTCGAACCCGAGCTGGCTTGCATTGAGTAAAGTAGTACCAATAAACAAAAAGTCATTGCGGGTCCTGCGTGCGTTACTATCAAAAGCAACTAAAATGCGAACCACCTCAAGGGTTTTCTCTTTAATGTGCCAAACGAAATTGCACTGGCCCAAGTCACAACTTCATCTACCGTACGACTCGATGTAGTGTTCACTCTCATTTACGCCTAGCTACTATGCCCCCAAATGGGTTAATGGTGGTCTGATTGAGGAACAGTCAACAAAGTGTGTCATTTGACATGGCATTGTCTTTCATATGCATCTTATTTTACAAATTTATTCATATCACAAGTGAAAACTATGGTTGGAATGGCTTTAGAAAAGACAAAATGAATAGAGAAACGCGGGAAGTCAGGAGGTAAGGAAAAGCCTTGACAGAAGTACATGAAGTCAAATTAATCGCACAATTATTCAATTAGAGAGGAGAGCTGCGTCTCAATCAGGGCGAGGAAACAAGAAGTCAGTCGAATCACAGTCTTATGATCTGGTCTTAGAAAATGTGGTATATGGATAGGCTGCATTGATTGAATTCCGATTCAAAGCTGCCGTCGTTGGAATGAAAACAAAAAGGGAAATTTTGTGGAACTTCACAAACTCCTTCCAAAAACGTACGATGCAATAATTTTAGCGACCATCAATATCTCTTCGTCTGATAGCCTGTCATTATCAGATTCCTAAGTCGAAACGATCATCATTCAGGTGGCCAGAGTGATCTGGATGATTTGAGATGAACCATGGAATGATGAAGTAAGTCACAACAACAGTTTGAGTAGAATAGAACAAAAAATATTTTGTGTGGACAGAGCCGAAGACAACGTGGAAGAAGAAGAAAATGCTGGTGATGGAAAGATGAAATAACACAGATGCGCGTCACTTGGAATGAATCATTGTTGGGCGACGGGATAATAATATTTAATGTCGGAATAATAACCAAGCAGAAAACCTATTGAGTTTTGTCGACTCATTTTCATCAAAAGATATCCAGGTTGGTGTGGCCTACTGTTATGCGTAAATATGAGTGAGCGTGGCTCTCTTCATAAGCCAGCAGCAGCAAGTGAAATCTGGTGTGACACACCATGTTGTCTAGTGAAAAGTTCAAAGAATATGTGGATGAGTTTGTGGACTATGTGCCGTTCGTGAGCCAGGAGATTGACGAAGACTTAAGCACACATCACTCGATTCGGTAGATGCGGAGTTGTTGAGTGCGGGTGCTCCCAAGTCGAATAATCTTTCCTCTTGCGGGACACTACTGAAGTTGCCCAAGCGTTCGTCTAAACTCCGATTTGATTGTAGCCATGAATCCGAGCACGGAGAAGCCAGCTTATGAGATAGCTTGCTCTCGTGAACCAGACTAATAGGCTCCTTGTCCACTGAATTCACATCAGCCGCTCGCATTGCACCGGACACGCGACTTTTCAAGCCCATCAAACCAACAGTGCTTGAACTGGATGGTTCGGTACTTGTTAGCTCTGCCGAGTAGACCGAGTGGGCTTCATTCGGGAACGAGTTCAGGCGGCTTGGATGTTGACGACTTCGCTGATTATTGGCCACGCGGCGGGCTTGAACACAAACATCTGTCATACATAGATTGATAGATCCTGTCTTCAGCTGAGGATGGCGCTTCCGTATGAAAACTGAAATGAAAAGTTGACCCACTGTTGAAAATGTGACATAACAACTGGCTTCATGGGAGTATATTGATGACTTCGAACGAATCCCTAAGACATCACAATATACCGAAATAAATTAAATTAAATTTTAGCAGTCTTTAAACGGAAAAATTGTATTGTGCCAAAGTAATGGCCCGCTTCATTCGTTCGCAAACCGAATGTTCTAAACCCAGTTGACCAAATGAAAATGAACAAGCCAAAATTAAAACTCTTCTAGAATGGCTTCAAACTCACGGACACAGACTATGATAAAACTGTTAACATGATCAGAAATAAACTATACCTATAATGCTTATCTGTAACACATCTTCATGCATGGACAGAACGCCGGAACCGGGCTTATGAGTACGGAATGATTCAACAAGTTTACTAACTACACTAAACTCCTACGAAATTGTGATCAACTGGAAATACGATCTGGAGGTAATCGGGTGATTAGTGCGGTGTGGTGACACGAAATCACTACTGTATGTAAAGCACAATGATAAAATGTAAATGGATAACCGATTCATTTTGTAGACACATGGGATTAACGACAAGCGTTTGAGATGTGGTCTATTTTTCACACGGGAAGGCAATACACGCCTTAAACAGTGCGTCCTGTGGTGATAAGGGCGCAACATAATGTTTTGATTTCATGCCTCGGAATACGGCCTGATAATTGACGCTCTTTGAGTAAAAATGTAGTGTTATGTATTTCGGAATTGTTTCCTTCACGTGCTCGAAAACATTCAGTAAACAGCTTTAGAGAATCAGCTTTCTCGGAATGAACCGAAGACGTAAACCAATAGAAGAAAGGAAACTACAAGAGAGCATATTTCAGTGTGTTCCATTGGAAATCCAACCTGTATGCTGTAAATGAATGAAGATGGTAAACGAGCCACCCTGCCTACCTTTGTGTTGAGTTCCTAATGTGCAATGCTTCTCAGACAGACTGGGATGACTTTATTTTATGATGGTGTCCAAAGAGTTGTGAACAACACTGACAACAGCAACTACAATAACAGGTTCAAACTGGTACACGATGATGGTTGTGGTGCTTGTTATAGCTACCTAGAACGAACTGTATTGCAGCAACAGTGTTCTTTCAGAATGGGCCTCTAGTGAGTGAACTATAGGGACAGCATCGATGTCTGTTCTAATCTGTCAATGAATCGAAAGCGACAGTCATTGTGACACTAAAAGTTGATATAGTGCTAAACAAACTGCCAAGCTCGGCGAACGCGATGGATGCATTGATCGGGTCAGCGTGTTCCGTCATTTATGTAAGGTAATATTCTGTGGATCACGCGGCCCACAGTCAGCGAATGAAATACTGAACGCATAGTATAGTAGCTACCTTCGCCAGTGATTGGAGGTAATTCAACCTGATTGACTACCAGCGTTCTTTATTTTATTTCCAAAGTTATACGGCTGCGTTTCGCAGGCACAAATGTGGTTTACTCATCTGTATAGATAGCATTGTAAAAAAATCCACAATGCATAATTTCGTACATTGTGTTTCACCATATTGCTACTCCTTTACGAGGTGTAGTTGCAAGGTACCAGAGTTTCTTCGCATGTATTCCACAAGTCAAAGTAAGTTCTTGGGGTACCAGCATAAGATATTAACGCCCTAAATTGTAACCATCAAAAACCTACCGGAAATATCTGCGGAACCGTGTAATAGTAAAACATGTTTGATCATTATAGTGGTGAGCGTAGCAGCTGCGGGCTGATTCACTTTACGTAAGCGATATTTTGTTTTCAGCTACAATATGGGCACTTTTTTGGCTAATTGCAACGAGGAACCGTCTGCTCAATTTATTAGCAGTCAGGGAGACGTAATTATTCATCCGTGTTTAGTTGAAACTAATCAGCTCACTGCGTGCAACCCCGACCACTGTTTAATCAACTTTCCATATTTGAACAGTCAACACCATTTAGTCCGTCAACAGCTGAGAAAAAACACGTGCAGGTTGTTTTCCCTGTAAACGCCGCCTCATGGGCAAACAAGTTGATGCATTGCATGTGCAGCACCAATTTGCTCAAGTGTTCGACAGCTTGAAGCAACTCTCCCGCACCCTTCAGTTCTCGGTTTACACAAACGCACACGCAACGCAGGCACGCAAGCGGACAAGCGGAGACATACGCAGACACAGGCGAATCGACTTCAAGTAAGACCTCTCCCTCCGGACGTCGCGTCACAATCTCAAACATTCCCTTATTTTTTGCGTCCCCGTCATGACTGACATGATTGAAATCGAAACCGTGATCAGTCCTGCTGCAATTAGAAATGTGTAGTTTCCAACTTTAGCAAACGGAATACCCCACCATATCGTCACACACCTCGAAGCTGTGTTAGATGGTTATGAATGAATAGAGGTGGTGGCATGAGTAAAGGAGCGGATGATGTTATGATGTTCATACGTGAGCTTCAGTATTGTTCGTCTGTGAGATGAACACTTGTTATGGGACTATACGGCTAGACAATGCCCAACCGTGTGTCTCTGAGTGCGTTCAACTTGTTTTTTCCAGACCCTAACATGCGATTGCCGTCTCTCACTCTCTTGTAGCCTGTGACAAGGACACTATTTTACACACACGCAGACATGTAGATCACCCGAATTTCCATTGTGTAACTAAGTCGAAGAGGAGAGCGGAACGAGTTCGAAAAAAGATGGTCATGTCAATACGGAATCATCAAGAAGAATGACAGGAAGAGAGGAAGAGGTTGATGGAAAGTAGGAAGGTGTTAACAAATGTTGTTGAAGCAGTGTCAATGACATTTACCGAATTCCGGTAGTGCTTGAGTGGTCTCAGTTACTCGCAGATTGTGGTCTGAAGCTACCAATTCAGTATAAATACCAAAACCTCTCATATCAAAAATTTGGAAAAAGCTTTCCTGCACATGCTCGGATGTTACTCCAGCAGACGTCAACTCCGTCGTGCCATGCAAACTATATTCTCAACCCTAAACTAGTCGTCTAAACTGCACACAATTGAGACTATGGGTGGAGCAATCACGCCATGCATGATTTGAGCTAGATGACATTGCGCACCTAGCTCTGGCCATTGCAGTTAAGCGAATTCAGGTACATTCCATGGGCGGTGAAATCACCAGTGAAAAGGCAAACACAAAAATGTTGGGATTTGTCGCTGCTGTCAACTTCCTCGATGTACACTGGTGCGTATGCACGTTTGTTTTCACCTCGCATATGTACGTTTGTGCGAGCTAACACACAGACTCACCACCGGACTAGGATTTCATTCTCCAACACGATTTCACTGTCTACATGTGTACGGTCTATTGGTCTCTTCTGGTCACTGTCGAGTGCACAAGCTGGCTGGCTGACGGAAACAGGAGAATGTGTGATTTGCATGGTGTGGGTAGACCATTGAAAAGTCCATGCGAGCATGACTTGTGCTGTTAGTATCGCTGCTGGTACTCCTGTCAGAAAATTCGCAGTTCTATTCACGCGCCAAACCGGAACCACGTGTAATGGTAACAACCTAATGGTTGATCGCGTTCATCCCATGATGTGACATTCGTGTTCTGTTGTTTTCAATCCTCGCTTCTGAGGTAGAATCTCCTATAGTATCACTGTTCAAACTACGTGACAAGCAGGAAAACGATGACTGCAAACTACCGCCTCTTTTGGCACACCCCTCTGCACACACTGTGTATCACAACTTCCTAGCCAACCAGACATCCAGACGGTTGAATTCAGAGAATCCTTTTTGACATTCCATTTTCTGCTACCTTTGCTTGCATGATTAAATCCGTTTGATCAACTGAAGAAACTACACGACCATGCGCACAACCACACTGAGAGTAAGAGCAAACAAGCGAAAACACATGATGACATGCTTATCCGACGAACACATTCTACAGCGAGTAGCCCATCGAAACGCCATTAGTAGACTGGGCAGACAGAGCATGCGGTTAAGCACGCTGTTGTGGAGCACCATCGCAGTCAATCAATGGACGCGTGAACGGAACAGTCTGTAAGAACCCATACTGTGAGCTACTCTATCTGTGTAATCGATGCCGAATTGGCGATTGTGTGAAGAGAAAGCAAATCTCAAAGCTCACTTTCAGTGAAACATATATTTTGCAAAATTTCTTAATTCCCGTTGAAATTTTCCGATGCAAGTAGGTTTACACTGAATAGAAATAGGTAATAATTTATATCATGAGTATCCGTTCATTTTAAGTAGATACTAAATTCTTCAATACCAGCCTGAATAAAAATGTACACAATGATTTTCTGAAAACCACCAATCCTAACCCACGGATACAAAATCTCGCAACTGAAACAAACAATAA